GGTCCGGGCTGGGGATTCGAACCCGCCACCTTAGGTGTACGTGGCTGGCGCCTTAGCCGGTTGAGCTATAGGCGCCGAGCCTCTAGGTGCATTTCTTGTGAACTAAGCGACCTACATAAAGACCGGGAGGGAGCTCTGAGAATGCTGCGTGGGCTGGGTGTGTGAGCGAGCAGAGCCCCAGGAAAAAGCTGGCAGGGTCTGTTCCCTGGGGCTGCCCCTCTGCTGGGGAGTTGCACAGGGACCTCAACACTGTCTATAGTCAAGCCTTTGATGTGCCCCCACCCCTTGCTCAGGAGGTAAAGATTTAGGAGTATTTGTACCCCCCACCATTCCCTGTGTTTATTCATTTAATTTGGGATGATAGACAAAGATGATGGTTTATAACCCAAACCTTCCTTTTCAAGAAATATTTCTGGCACTGGTTTTCAATTTTGCAGCCATACTTACAGGAGCTATTCTTGGACTTGTCACTGTGTCTCTTTTTCAAAGCTTGCCACCAGTCTTTATATAGACACCTCCATTTTTGAGTTTCTTTATATAGATGAGTTCTCCATTTTTGAGTTTTTAATCTAGATACATCTCTTGGTTGGTGTGTTAGAGACCATTTATATGTAGGAAATAGAAGCATGAAGGGCTCTCCTAGGGAATGCATTTGTAGCTAAGAGCTGACATGGCGTAGATGTTGGCAGGGGCTGCTGGGCTGCTCACGGGGAGCTGGGACACAGCGGGTGGTGTGGATAGGCAGTGGGCAAAGAAGCCTCTTCCTTGTGGGGTCAGGCTGTACGCTTGGTGGGCCCAGGGAGGCCTCCCATCAGTGTCACTATGCTCTGGCTTGAATATGACCTTGTAGACTTAGAAGGGACCATGAGAGTCATCTGGGCTTACTTCAGGGTTTAGGCCAAGAGGTCAGGTTTGGAGTTTGTCCATTTTCTGGGGGGAGGGAACATAAAGCTTGTGGGACCCAGGGCATCCACACCAGGGCACAGAGCTGGCTGATGGTGGTAGAGCCAATAATTGAGCTCCAGCCGGGCTCCTTCCATAGTGCCCATGCTCTGCAGTTTGCAATCTTGGCAACCATAGATATTCTTCTGGTTGCATTGCAGGTTATTGGCAGAGTTGGTGATTTGGGCAGAATTGTTTGCTGGATGACATTGATCAGCCTGCCAGCAGGTGGCTGTGTTGAACAGGGCACTTTGTCAGATCTGTGGGCAGAGGGAATAGCCAAGCCTCCTGTCTTGCCCCTTTTGAGCTGCTGTAACAAAATATCAGAAACCAATGGCTCATTCCTCCCAGTTCTGGAGGCTGAGCTTGGTGGGTTCAAGGACACCAGAGAGGCCCATGTATCTGAGCATTGAAGGGTGATAGTAGGAGCTGACATGATCAGAGAGGCCACACCGTGTGGCCCCTGAAAGGACATCAGCTTTTACTCCAAAGGAGCTAGGAGCTGTTGGAGGGTTTTGAGCAGAGGAGGGGCCTGGATAGCAAAGGTCTTAGGAGGGTCACAAGAGTACTGAGTGGAGACTGCTCAGGAGTCTGGTCCTAGGAGGAACTAGAAACCACTTGGGAAGAGATGAAGGTGGCTGGGACCAGGGTGATGTCTGGGATCGAGGTGAGACTTGGTCAGAGGTGGATGTAGAGACCTGGAAGATTCTTTCCGATGCTGCTATGCACCTGGGGAGTAGACTAACTTTGTATTTCTTTTCTCTAGGCTGGCTTGTCACTTCCTGTGAGCCTTTCTCTCAGGGAGCCTCCTGCTGCTGGGCACCATGACAGTGAGGGGGGCCGCGCTGGCCCCGGATCCAGCGTCGCCCACGACCACAGCCGCATCACCCAGTGTCTCTGCGATCCCCGAGGGCAGCCCCACCGCCATGGAGCAACCTGTGTTTCTGATGACAACTGCTGCTCAGGCCATCTCTGGCTTCTTTGTTTGGACTGCCTTGCTTATCACCTGCCACCAGGTACCCAGGCCTTGGCGGGGAGGGGCTTCTAGAAGGATCCTGAGTGGTTTCTAGTCCAACAGAGTATTAGCCTGGCCAGGCTATGCTACAGTAATAGATAAACCCTGAATTTTCAGAGGCGTCACCTGATAGAAGTTGATCTTTTGCACATATCCCAACTTGGCCCAGAGCAGGTCAGGTACTGCTGTACAGCCCCAGCATCGTGCAGCTTCAAGGCATCCTCCCTCTGACAACTGGGAGCTGTGAATTTGAGGAAGGCACCTCAATCCAGAGATGACACTTGTCTTTTCTGCTCCCTTTAGATTGGTCAGAATTAATTTCATTCCAGTCTAAGCTCCAGGGAGCCAGGAACTATAGGAGCACATGGTTGGCAGGAGCCCCTTTGCAGGTGGAAAACTGAGAGGCAGGGGGGAAGAGGGAAAGATGGCAGAGCTAGGATGGAAGTCAAGTTTCCTGTCCAGCCCTGTTATCTCACAGCCTCAGAGAGGGCTGGGTGTGGGCTAAGACAGGCTTAGTGGCCCAAAAAGGAGGGTTGCAGGTGATCAGTGTAGAAGGGCTGGGTGTGTCTGCCCAGGTTCCCCAGTCAGCCCCGTCACCCCATGTCCCCATCCTTTCCAGAACCCGCTTATGCCCAAAGTGGTCAGCTCATAGCAGATGGAGAATATTTTGTTCTTTTCCTCCCTGGCCTGGGGCTTGGCTGGGCCATGTGTGATGTCATGAGACCTGGGATGGGACATGTAGGGGCTGCTGGGACTGAGGTCTATTCTAGAACAGCTGTTGGCCTTTGTGTGTAGCTCCTATTTTCTGAAAGTCATACTTCATTCTCCTAACTTCAGGGTAAGGCAGGTGGTCCTGCCTCTGTTTCACAAACTCAGCCAGGAAGTGCATCTACCTCCCTCAGAAGGGGGCCCCCAGCTCTCTTACCCTTGCACTATAAGTTAGGGGACAGGGCAGGGTGGGCTACAACCCAGGTGGGTGTGCCTTACCTCCATCCTGTTGCTTCAGACCCTCTGCCCAGAAGGGCAAAGGGGAAGGTGGGCTGTTGGGGCAGAGCCACCTGTATGTGACTTCCTGGCAAGCTTGTTAAACTGGATTCCAGGCTTGTCCTTGACCCTTGGTCTAGGGGTGTGGGCTCACCACCATAGCATCTGCAAGGAGGCCCCTTGGACACCACACGTGTGCTCCCCGGGCTTTGTGTGACATGGTGGTCTGAGTCTCACAGCAGCCTTGGACGCAGGGTTCCCCACCCGCATCTCACAAAGCAGAGTTCTAAGGCTCGGGGTGAGTGCCTCAAGTCAGGTGCTAGGCCAGTGAGTGGCAGAGCTAGGAGTTCACACATGCCCACGTCCCCTGGCCAGGCTGCCCCTCCCGCGGACGGGAGGCCTGGCTAATGTGCCCTCTGCCCCCAGATCTACATGCACCTGCGCTGCTACAGCTGTCCCAACGAGCAGCGGTACATCGTGCGCATCCTCTTCATTGTGCCCATCTACGCCTTTGACTCCTGGCTCAGCCTGCTCTTCTTTACCAACGACCAGTACTACGTGTACTTCGGCACCGTACGCGATTGCTACGAGGGTGAGGATGCGTGGGGGTATGGGGGAGGGCTGGAGAGCTGGTGGCCCCTGGGAGCCCCACCCACGCTCTTCCATGAGGGGCCTGCCAGCCTAACAGGATGACTGGTCTTGACCCAGCCCTCACTTTACCCCCTCAGGGTTTCTGTCCCAAATCGACAGGTAACAGCACATGTAGAGGAGTCTCCCCTTACAGATACCTGGAAGCAGGCCCTCCACTTATGTCTCATTTCCCAATCTGGCATCTCCAAGTGGGGGTGGCAGCAAGTGAATGGTCTTTGTGTATCGAGAAACTCCAGGTCACCCCAGGTACAGCTGAGTGGGGATTTATCCAGGGAGGGCAGGGGCAGCAGTAGAGCCAGGTTCCATCCTCCTGGGTCTTAACAATCAGAGCTCTGTCCCATGAGGTGCTTTGCGGTGCCACCGAAAAGGGACCTCACCAAGGGACCTTGAATTCTGTGTGTGGAGCAGAAACATCACCTGCTCCTGGGCTGAGCTCTGACCATGGACCAGGCCCTGGGTTGCAGCAAGGCCATTCTTCACCTTCTCTGCCTTCTTTGACCTGTGGTCTCTAAACTGTCAGCCTGAGATGTTAAGGAAGCTACTCTGACAGGGAGAGAGGAATCTCTGGCTGGGAGGTCATTGGGGGTGCTGTGTTGGGGACCAGTCTCGGCCAGAGGAGAGGTCAGGGGCAGAGAATGGATTGCACTGGGAGCCAAGGACAGGGACATAGAGAATTTACATTTTCTTTTAAACTGTTGACACATAAAAATATGACAAGATTAGAAATTGCAGGTTTTACAGATCTAGGTGAAGGGTGGATGAGAAGGGAGAGGCCAGAGGTTTCAAGACAGGTGGCAGGCCAGGAGTGCCTAGGCAGTCCAATAGGAATGGGGTGGTCCCTCGAGTCAAGAGCTTTACTTTTTTTTTTTTTTTTTTCTGAGACAAAGAGTCTCATTTTCTTGCCCCTGGTAGAGTTCCGTGGTGTCACAACTCACAGCAACCTCCAAGTCTTGGGCTTAAGTGATTCTCTTGCCTCAGCCTCCTGAGTAGATGGGACTACAGGTGCCCACCACAACGCCTGGCTATTTTTTTTTTTTTAAGAGATGGGGGTCTCACTCTGGCTCAAGTTGGTCTCGAACCTGTGAGCTCAGGCAATCCACCCACCTTGGCCTCCCAGAGTGCTGGGATTATAGGTGTTAACCACCGTGCTTAGCTCAAGAGCCTCACTTTGATGCCCACACACCTCTCAGGGCCTGTAGTTCCTGCCTCTTCACTGTACCTTTTGCTGATGATTCTGGATAAAGTGACCAGATGTGGTCTTCCTCATGCTGAGGTCAGGCCGCTCTGGCCATGCCCAGAAGTTGTCTACATCCCTGACCTAGGAGGGCTTTGCCCTGGCCTGGGCTTCATGGATATTGGGATGCACTGAGCCTATTCTCCAAGCAGCTGGAGTCTCTCTTCCTGATACTTGTTGAACCTTGTGTATCCCTAGGACTAGCAGGGTACAGGAAATGCATTTGGGATAGGAAGAAATAGAGGTGCCTCCTGCCCCGGCTTTCACGTCTCCCCATTGCCCATCCTCTGTCAGCCTCCTTTCTAACTGGAGCATGCCAGGTGCTTCCTAGCCTTAGAGGTTTGGTGTGTGCCAGTCCCCCTTGGCCTAGAAATCTCTTCCCCTGCTCTGTGGCTTCCCCTCTGCTCCTCCCCATCTGTCCTCCAGTGTCACTCAGAGAAGCACTTTCTGTTGCCCTTGCTCCGGCAGCCTGGGGCCTGCACGCTCTCCTACCATTTGCATTGCCTTGCTTACGCTGTGTCGTCCTGAGCAGACTGCCAGCCCTGTCAGAGCAGGATGGGAGTGCCCAGGCCTGGACAGAGCCTAGCACATGGGAGCTATTTACTCTATAACTTTTGTACAAGCAAGTGTGCCTTCCATTCTTCCCCATGAAGCCTCATTGAATTCCCAGGCTCCCTCCTCCTAGGCTGGTGTCCTGTCCTGCCTCTTCCTGGCGAGAATACCGAGGCCAGGTGGGGTCCTCTTTAGGGTTTAACTGGGGCTCTCGTGTCCAGTGTTCCTGGAAGCAGCCGGGTCTGCAGGGAAACCCTTGGGTACCCGAGGAGCTGTACAGCTAAGACTGTGGAAGTCGGGGGGCTGAGAGTCCTTCTCCAGTCAGCTGCCAGCCTCGCATATGCCAGTCTGGTTCCTTCAGAAGTAAAAAGTTGTTCTTTGCCGAGGGGCCTCTCCCTGTGTGAGCAAGGGGCAAGGGTAGTTTGTCTTCTTGGCTGGGCCCTGAAGACTGAGGTACGTGGCAGAAGTTGGGGGACACAGCCAGGGGAACCTCTGCCCTGCCCTTGTTCTGTGCCCAGAGGCAGCAGCAGATGGTTGGCAGTCACCCCCACTCCAAAAGCCTCTTTGTTTAGGCCCCGTCTGTCCCAACCTGCCTCCCACCCAGTAAAGGTCCTCTCAGGAAGTCTGCTGCCCTGTGAGCACATCTCCTAGCAACGCCATTATCTTCTTGGCCCGGCATCTGGCAGGGAGTTTACAAACAGCATAGCAGCTGCTGTGGAGTTCAGGTGGCCTGGAGTTCACCAGCGTTAGTGTCTGTGTCAGCGGGTCTGGCCCTGGCTTTGCCCCTTCCTGCACTGCCCGCAGAGTTGTTGACCAGGAGTCCCTTAAAATTCAAAACGATGTCCCCATTTGTCCCTCCTCTACCTTTTCTCCTCTGTGCTCCAAGAGCTGAGCAGGCCAGGGAGGCACGGGGAGGGTAGGGGTTGGCTCAGTGGAGAACTCTGATTTCAGATCGACCAGCCCCTGCCAGACATTGCTGGGCATTGCACAGACATTGACTTTTTTTTTTTTTTTTTTAACAAAATTCTGCTTTTAAACACTAAATTTTAGTTTTATTAAAGTAACACACACAGTCCCTGGGTTACAAATGAGATAGATAGGTTCTGTAGATTTGTTCTTAAGTTTAATTTGTATATAAGTTGGAATAGGTACATTTACCTATTATACACTCCATTTGTAAGTGCGAGTCGTACATCAGTTGGATGTTTGTAACTCAGGGATTTACCATAAGAGCCTCCATTTGTCAGTGTGAGTTGTATATAAGTCAGATATTTGTAACTCAGGGACTGCCTGTATAGGCACATGATTGAAACATAGAAATGCCCCAGTTCTTTTTCACTCCTAAAGTCACTGCACTTTCAACTCCTAACTGTCTCTTCTTAGAATAACCTACAAATGTGCTTGTATTTTTTTTCAGTTTTATATAGTTTTACATTGGGGTGTCCTACTATAGAGGGTTTTTTTGATTTAGGTATCGGTCCCCTGGGCCTGTGCGCATGCATGCACACACACATACACACACTCTCTCTCTCTCTCTCTCTCTCTCTCACTTTCCCTCGTCTTTTCAGTGTGACTATATCGCGATTTTTTTTTTTTTTTTTTGAGACAGGGTGTTGGCTGCCCAGGCTAGAGTGCAGTGGCATTGTCATAGCTCCCTGCAATTGCAAATGTCTGGGAGATCCTCCTGCCTCAATGTCCTGAGTAGCTGGGACTATAGGCATGTGCTACCACACTTGGCTGATTTTTCTTATTTTTTGTAGAGATGAGAGCTTGCTGTTTTGTCCAGGCTGGTCTTGAACTCCTGGCCTTGACCTTGGCCTCCCACAGTGCTGGGATTATAGGAGTGCACCACCACACCTGGCCTCCTTTTCCTAAATCTGTATTCAGGGTTTGTTTTACTGTGTTCCTGCAGATGCTGCTCACAGCTGAACCTTGTGGTGTCCCAAGGTTGCATTCCTTTTTTTTTTTTTTTTTCATTTTTGGCTGGGGCCAGGTTTGAACCCACCACCTCCAGCATATGGGGCCAGCACCCTACTCCTTGAGCCACAGGTGCCGTCCGTGCATTTCCTTTATGTAACTCTGGTTTTGCTCTGGTTACTGCTTATCTTGCTTTTTTGTTTGTTCAGTTTTCTGTGCACCTATCATTAATTTATTCCCAAATGCTCCAATTGAATTGAAAAAAAAAATCCTGCTCTCAGTAAAACCAGACTAATCCAGGAATCTCTTGAGTGCTGCTTTTTCCCTGGTGACATTTCTCTTGGAGCCATCTCCTTTTTGATTAGATGACTCCCCTGCTTTCTGGGCTTCTTCCTGAGAAAGAGCATGCACGGAGGTCTAGTTTTTGGAATCTGAAAGTATCTTTATTATACTGTTCTATTTGATGGGTGTTTGATGGGTATATAATTCTAAGGTGGAATTCATTCTCCCTTGAATTTTTTTTTTTTTGAGACAGAGTCTCACTACATTGCCCTTGGTAGAGTGCTGTGACATCACAGCTCACAGCAACCTCAAACTCTTGGGCTTAAGTGATTCTCTTGCCTCAGCC